ACACGCACACATACACACACACGTACACATAGGCCGACCTTTCCATATTTACAACAGTGATATTTAACACGTTATATCATTCACATTATTTTCTGAAACTTAAAAAAGAAGAAAGTATTAAAGTATGAAAGCCACAAGCCAGGAAAACCCCAGTCCATGTCGTAGCAGAAACTTGGGCAAAGATTTAGTTGAGATCCCCATGCTGAATTTGACATATAATATTATTACGCACTTCTGGTGTCTCTACTCTCTGTGGGGGCCACCATAGGGCTGTCCCCGTAGTTTTATGCACCCCACAGAATTTAGCAAACTTTAATCTTTTTGGGAGGGGGCATAATTTCTGATTATTTCCTTTATCAGTCTTTGTCAAAATTAACAGAATCGCATAATTTCACAGTTTTGGGCTCAGTTTGCACAATTTCATTATTTTCTTTTTTGCCTAAAGCAAGGGGGACAGATAGGGGTAACCATGCATGATGTCATGCTATATTCTATTGGTCGGTTATTGTGTAGATGTAATGCCTCTCTCAACACTGTAGGGCCTAAAGCTATCAAAGAGTCGGGACCTCCGAATTCGACGTCCATCTCCGACCGGACTAAGCTAAATGAGTTGAGAACCTTGAAAACTCGCAAAAAACAAACCCAAGTTCAAGATCGGCTTCATGGTGATTCGAACCAAGACCAGCCCCTCCATAGTTCAACATGATAACAACTAAGCAATCGGAGAGCCCGTGACGTCAGGCGAGGGGGGGGGAACGATTTTTACTTATCTTAAGGAGGGGTTCCCAGCTCTAAATATTTACCACCTCAACCCCCTCCGCCCCCCACAAACACGCATACACGCATACACACACTTTTCCTGTTAATCTACACGGTAAAATCGAGCTAAGAGCATTTGCGTAAATATAATATTATTATACAGATTGTGTTGGGGGTTCGGAAAAAATCAATCTTTCGTGCGATCGATGAGCACAATCTGCTGTGACAAACAGACATAAATATTTCCCCGGCTGGTTCTCGCTGAATTTCCTGTGCTCGGTTATGATGAAGATGGTGTTCCAGGTTTCCCTTACGGAATTTGGGGCTTGAATTTCCAACCATGATGTTAGCTTTTTCATTTTGGATTGTATTGGTCATCGCTGAGTCAGGTGATATAACCCCTCCCCCCCCCTCCCATCCCAACCTCATCCCACACATACACATCCATATACACATACACATACTTATACGTAAACATACCTATGCACGCACAGATACACACTTTCATACACACACACACACACACACGAA